AATTTCAGAAGATGCCAACAGAACAAAGTCGTGTCGGAGCGCTCGGTATAGTCTCCCTTCTTCAACTATGATAATACGTGACTCGTTCTCCAGTCCGCTGGTGACTTCATCGTAGCCACTGCAGTTCTACATGCACATGAAAGCAAGCCAACCACGTGCCCTGTTCTTCCAACGTTTTAAGCATTCAGAACGGATCTCATTTCTGCTAGCTGCTCCGTTTTTCATTTGGTAACGCCAAGGCACAGTTTTGAAAATTCCTTGTAGTCTAGCGTGCAACTAATTAACTGTGTCACTGGACCCTTACCAATCTATGATCATATCAAGGTGGTGACGCCTGTTAGCACGAGAATTTAGTTGAAAGAACGGGCTATGCATCGATATTGTACTCTCGTTTATGCACAGATGTTAATGTGATACAACATTGCAGATGAATTCTTCTACCTTCTTCCTAATAGATTATCGTATGGCGATGATTGAGGAGTTGGAACTCGTTGCAAGCCGCAAGGCATTCGAACAACATGCAAAATCAGGTTCTTGATGACAATCAGTATATTTAATAACGAATTAAGGTGATTGTCTAAAGTCGTTGCACTGAATGATCCTAGGAAAGATTGTGGAAGTTATTTATATAATAAGTGGCAAAACACATAGAAACAGATGATACCATTTATTCACCATGGAACTGGAACTTATTGGGGATTGTGGCTGCATGTCTTTCACTTTTGAAAGTGAGTTCAGTGATTCGTTATAACAAAAATACTTGAGCGTTTTTGCGCCAATTACTGTGAAGTCCATTAAACGTTTGTAATGCTGAATGCGTTGGTGCGGCCCGCAACCTTAATCGGATTCGTCCAGCGTTGTTTAGTGTCTCGAATCCTTACGGGTGGATATGCGTCCCGATGTCACGCTCATGACGATGTAGATAAAGCGGAGGATATCGAGCAAGAAGGATCACAAAACTCTAAAACCGTTGAAACACCAACCTCTTCCGATCTTGACGAAATTCGTGCACGAAGGTAATATTTTGATACTGGAAGGATTTATTTTGTTTTGGTTAATTTTCCAAGTTATGGTTTGAAACAGATTTTCTTTGTTTCTCTCGAGATAAAGAATCTCTCCGTGGTGCCGGCGAGAAACTTCTGAAGATGCGACAATGCCCAAGCTCGCTGTGGAAATCTCCGAGGGGCCTAATCTTGCACAGCTGTCATCTGTAGCCTAAGAGTAGCCTTGCACTGGGGCTAAAGGCAAGCAGGCGTCTTTACCGAGATGTCTGGTGAGTCTCGTCGGTGACTGAAACCTCCTGCTAGGATCGCATGAACAGATCAGGCCAAGTGATTCCGTGTAACAAATAACAAGGGTGGATGAAGAAGCAGGGATTGCAAGGTGCTCAAGAGCCATCGTTACTACCTCTGAATATGGTATAATATGATGCATGGAGCTGTCGGACAGCTAGGAGCAGGGGGGTTGTGTATTGATCCGTGAAATTCAGTCTTTGAAGAGTTATTTGCCTGTTAACACAGATTTCTGACACCGGAATATCTGGATTATGTTTTGTCTATTATTCTCCTTGTTTTCTGGACTTGTTGTTTATTATTTTCTGTCGATATTGTTGCTTATTTGTTTACAGTTATTTCTGCGGTTCTGTTAATTAATCTGACGTTTCTGACTAAATCCAACTTTGACCTCTGTCATCGATCAGCCAGGCATGACGTTCATTCTGACAAGGTTTCTGTGTTGGAGGTACTGGGTGTCGTTATTGCGTTAGTCAGTGTCTTATGTTTTTACACATCTAACTCATGCAAATTAAATAGCAGGCAAGATGGGTGAAAAACCTCATATTCTTTACCACGATGCTCAAAGATTTAATTAATTAGTCGTATATGTTGTATACGATCAGACTATAAACAGGTAGCTGTTGCAGAACAGCTGGTTATACTGTTCTCTTTCAGTTTTACGATGGTCTGCTAATCAGTGTGATATAAACGGTGCTATACTCTATACTGTATATGTATTGATCTGTTAGTGGGTGAATCCAATTGGTCAAGGGTAGAAGCAAAGCCCAAAACACAAAAAAAGTGGCAAAAAACGTCAACTTGCATCTGTAGCACGGCTGCTGACGAAAACGAGTCGTATAGAAGGAATACCCTGTAATCGTGAGTAATGGTATAGTTCCATACGTTTAGTGCATGATTCACCCGTCTTATTTTAGTTTCAAGATGTTTACAATATTTCTTCGTTCCATTACAAAGACGGTAAACGGTTTTTTGAACATTTAAATAAACCACTCTTTTACAGCAGTAGTCTATGCTATATTTCGTTATTTGTATATTTGTCTTTTTTAGCTTCTTGAAGTTTACCAAACCATATAACCCTCCGGAAGACACGGAACAACGGCTGCTGGCTGTTTTCAAAGAGGCAGTTGACGACGCATCCGAGGAGCACTGGAAAAAGTTTTCCTTTGAGGGCAAGTTAGAGCAAAAGTGTCGTTTTTTGTCGCTGGCTGAAAAGGCGTTAGGAAAACGAATTCTGAGCAGCTATCTGCATGATTTGAAAACTGTTGAGGACGTGTTGAATTATTTCAACGTT